AGAAGCCATTCCCCTTTGGATCAGAGGAGGCTGTTTTAAAGGGAAAACATGCCTAGTCAAAGCTAGTGTGCAGTAAACAAGAAAAAGACCAAGGCTTCAACCGAAGCTTGGAATTTGAGGCAAACTTGGAGGAGGTTAGGCGCTCAATCGAAGCCTGTCCAAATACCAATCGAAAGGCCTTTTAACATGCCAATCGAAGGATTTTGTCAAAATGCCAATCGAAGACTCCTTGTTTATCTTCAAAAAAATTTATCTTTCCTTTGATCAGATGCTTGTGATCACCATGTAAGAGAAAGATCGTGGGAAAATATAAGAGGGCGAATTTTGGGGTACAACAGTCTTTGCTAAAGCAACCCACGTTCGAGGGACATGACTGTTGTTTTTCCGAAGGCAACAAGTGAGGAATACCCTAGAGGTACGCATGTATAAAGTGTGTTGTATTTCAGTTGTGTTTTTCTTGAATGTTAGGTTTTCTATCATTTGCTTTTAAATCTTGTCATGCAATCCTATTAGCATACATCTAGCAGTTAAATATATACAACTGTAGAAAAAAATGCGGAAATTAAACTACGTTATTACATCGCTTTGGAATAGGGAGAATACAAACCAAAATGGGGGGAAAATGTAAATGTCCTAAATTAAACTATTACATCCCTTTGAGAAATTACAACTATTCATTAAAATAATGCAAAAAAGGTAAACAAACGCGCGGAGAATTGAAAAGAGGAAATATCTAAAATCCTAAAAATTCTAAGTAGAAAAATGTTTTTGTTGTTTTTGTAAATATAATTGAATTATAAACCTAATTCTAATTGAATTTTAATTCACATAATAAACTCAAAATGATTAAATTAATTAATTTTATTGTAAAAAATAAAGTTTAACTAATTAAATCCTAAATCTAATTTTTATTTGATTTTATGATTTTTTTTGTTTATTAAAAATAAAAACTGATTAAAAAAGAAATATTAATTAAAACAAAATAAGGAAAATTGAAAAGGTTCTGCTGTAAAGAAAAAAGTTAGGGGGTGCAAAGTCAGAAAACACCTAAGCCCATTATCTTAGGCCCAGGAGTTTGCAAAAGGAAATTGGGGGTGTGAAGATCTGAAGTCCCAGGCCCATTAGCAATAGGACCCTGGTGTCTATTGACCTGCAAAACAAAGGTTAGAAAAATAAAATAAAAGTTTGCTCCCTGCCTAGATCGAACCCAGGACCTGGCAGGGGTATGCCTTAAGTGCGTGTGTGTTGCCACTGGGGTAACGTGTTTCATCCATTAGGATAATGAATCAATGACATTATAATATGAAACCGCTAGCTAATTCCAATTCAGCAAATACGTGTGTCTATTGTAGGCCCTGATTATTTGAATGGGTGAATCATGTTATTTCTTTTAGCCACGCGAGCCTCGCTGAAGCCAGACCACCCCTTACGGTGGTTAACTCCTTCTTTTCCGGTGAGTTATTTCTGAAAACCTACGCAAATGGAAGGTTTGAGGCAAACCAGGAGGTCTACCCTAAACAAAATCACGTACTGAGTTTGAATATGGGCTTAAAATAAGCAAACAGTTATTGTATTATACGATGCGAATATGAATTCAGATTGTGCCCTAACAATGGCATGATCTCATCCGTGCGTCCAAACTTGCATGTAACACATTAGTTCTAATCCAGATATCACCAATAGCATGAATGTATGCATAACATGGATTTAAATTACAGGATTAAAGAGTTTGAGATCAAGAAATTTTACCAAAACTGGTACGATTGGATATGAGAGTTCTGGACATGGAAGGGCTTGATTATGAGCTTGATTCGATTATTGGAAGCCCCAAGGATGTGATTTGATCACTTATTTGGATTGATAGTGTTTGGGAATGTTGTTACAAATTTTACAACTTTTGAGAAATTTTTGAGAATTTGGTAGAGCTTTCTTATATAGTTATGTCGTGGTCTATTGAACTTGCATTGTTGTGCTTAAATAGAAGAATAGAAAGATATAAATAAATATGGCAAGGAAATAACTCATTCAAGGCCATGAGACAAAAATCCAACACATTAAGAAGTTACCATTTTTGAGTGATTCTTGCCCTTTTGAACGTGCAATGAACCTGGACCATTTGTGTGTATCTTGCACAAATTATTGGGCCCTTGAATGATCCAAATAAAGTCCACTTAAGCATTGATCCATTTATTTGATATTTCACTTGATTTCTTTTGTATTTAAATGAATAAAAATTCAAATAAATAAAAATAAAAATAAAAATAATGCATGGATATGTTTAGAGGCTCTTGGAATGTCATGAGTATGTTTGAACTCTAAAACATTAGGCCCAAAACCTAAAGTCACAAATTTGCTCAATTAAGATTTCATGCATTTCTTAAAAATTGCCCAACTTGTGCAACCTATGACTTGCTCAATTTTCATCTTTTAAAAATGATCTTTGACTTTTTTAAAAGCTTAAGATGTCCTCTACAGTTTCTCTTTTGATCATTTTTGCATTTGGAGACATTATCTTGATGTAAGTTGCCTTGACAAAAAGTGTCTTTTGTTGACATTTGAAAATGACCTATAATGTATTAGCTCATATCTTCCAAATGAAGCATTTTTTGGACTTGAGAATAAAATCAAAGTTGTAGAGAATTGAATTTTCTTCAAAATGAGTTGTGGTTGGGGAAAAGTTGATGAAGCATGTGAAAGTTATGCCTGGTCAAAGTTCAATTGACTTCTCTTAAGGAAACCCTAATTTGATAATTCTTGACTTTTGATGATTTGAGAGATTTTCTTAGGGAATCATGATCAACACTTGATCAAATGATGAATATCACTTCAAAATGTTGATTTTGACCAAAAATATTGAAGTTTGACTATATGTTGACCACATTTGACTTTTTGACCAATACAGTTGATTTTCAATCATCTGAGCCACTGGCTGAGCAAACTTGTGATGTAGGACTTGAAACTTGACATGAACCTTGTTGAGGATCTATGGAGAACCAAGAAAGCCACTTGAGACCTTTTCAAACCAAATTTCCTTGAGAAATTCAAAACCCTAGTTGTAGGCTCTTGACTTAGGATGAGCATTTGACTGGTCACCCCTTGAGATTCTTGAGTATTTGAGGAGCCTTGAAAGAATGCCTTGAAGAAAATAGGAGGGAAAATTTTGGGGTGCAACACCATCGTCAACTAATTCCAACAATCAAAACCTCTTAGGACAATGATTATGTAATCGGGGTTTTGAAGTGGCTCAATGATCAATACGCACCTGTTAGGGCTCAAATTATGTTGATGACACCTCTTCCAACTGTCAATAAAGTATTCTCCTTGTTGATCAACAAGAAAGAAAATTTTCTACACGCATTCCTGAAGATAAACTCATAGCTTAAGTGCAAAAACCATATCAAAAAGGGCGCTCCAATGATTATGGTAATAAACCATCTTACACACCTAAATCCAAAGGTATCAAGATTTGCAGCTACTGCAATAAACTTGGACATACAATGGAAATATGTTTTAAAAAAACATAGACTTCCACCATATCTTAAGAAAGCAAACATGGCTCTCGCTGCCCCTGGTGATCAAGATATCGAGGATTCTACTCATGGTAAAATTGAAGATGCTCCGGATAACATTGGCTTTACCGAAGAACAACAACGCGGTACTTTCTCTTCTCCAACAAACCAATGTCTCATCCACGTCTAACATACAACACCTTCAATCGTTTGTTGCATCTCACCCAAGTAATCTTACATTTCATAATATTCATGCCATTGATAATTCTGAATGGCAGCTTGATACAGGCGCCACTGATAATGTCTGTCATAACAAATCAGTTTTTACTAGACTATACCCTATAAAAGCCAATTTAGTCAGGCTTTCTAATGGAGCCACCATCACTACAACACATTCTAGCAGTATACACTTTAATGAAAATTTCTACCTTCATGATGTTTTATAAATTCCTACTTTATATACCAACTTAATTTCAGTTTCTAAATTATGTAGTTCCTTAAATTGTGCTTTTATTTTCACTGCCTCATATAGGGAACCAATACCCAGTTGAAGATTGGTGCAGCTAGGCTACACCAAGGACTCTACACACTTGTTTCCCCTTCTAATTCCCATAATAATAATGTCAATCCCACCACTATCAATAATTGTACTCTTTGGAATAATAAATTAGGCCATCCTTCTTTTGATACTCTTGTTCACACAAATAAAATGTTTCCTTTATCAAATTTGCAAATATTTGTTAATCCTTGTGACACTTGCTTTACTGCTAAACAAAAATGCTTACCTTTTTTTCTGACAGCAAAACTACTACTTATAATTGTTTTGATTTAATACACATGGATATATGGGGGCCATTTCTTGCCCCTCCATAAATGGTCATAAATATTTTCTCACTGTGGTTGATGATTACAACTGGTATTTCTGGACTTTTTTAATGAAAAATAAATTGAAAACTTCTTCCCTAATCAATGCTTTTATTAAGTTTATACAAACACAGTTTCAAATCACTATAAAAATCATAAGGTCTGACAATGGACCTGAACTCACTTTAAAGGATTTTTACAGCACTCAAGGCATACAACATCAAACTTCTTGTGTTTATACCCCCAACAGATTGGGCTTATTGAGAGAAAACATCAACACCTCTTAGGTGTTACTAGAGCCCAACTTACCTAAAATTTTCCGGTCCTATGCTTTATCCTATGTTGTTCATATTATTAACATGTTACCTTCTAAATTGCTTGCTTATAAATGCCCTTTTACCTTGCTTAATCATGTTACTCCTGATTACTCTACTAAAAAGACTTTTGAATGTTCAGTCTATGCTTGCAGCATTAATGTTCACAGCACAAAATTAGACTCTAGGTCTAATAAATGCATCTTCTTAGGCATTAAGCATGGTGTTAAGGGATCTATTTTATATGATTAGGACTAGAAACATTTTTATTTCTAGAGATACCATATTCTATGAACAAATTTTTCCTTACAAGATGCCCACCCCTACCCCTTATCAATCCACTCAACCTATACATCACCCTCCTACTGATGATGCCTTAGATTATTCTCCTCAACCTATACATATTACACCCCCTCCATCCCTCAAAAGCAGTCTGCCTCCATCTTCCACAACCACACCTCCTTCTAACAATTCCCATCCTTCCCCTCCTCCCAACAATAGCCACAATGATTCTTCCACTACTGTTAGAAAAACCAGCAGGCTCACTAAACCTTCCACATATTTAAAGGACTACCACTGCTCATTGTTACAAGGTATCACTCATTCATCTCCATCCTCTAACTCAGGTATGAACCCTTACCCTTTGGCTGATTTTTTATCCTATGATAATTTATCTTCACAACATAAATTATTTACTTTAAATATTAGTACTACTTCTGAACCTACATCTTACACATTTGCCATGACTAATCCCCATTGGCAACAAGCTATCTAAAATGATTTAAAGTCCCTCAATTATACTCATACCTGGGACATTACTCCCTTATCTCCCAACAAAAATTCATTGGTAGCAAATGGATTTTCAAACTAAAATTTTCTCCCAATGGCACTATTGAGAGATATAAAGCCAGGCTTGTTGCCAAAGGCTTTAATCAGACTGAAGGCCTTGATTATCTTGAGACTTTTAGTCATGTCATCAAGATGACTACCATTAGGTTACTTCTTTCCGTTAATGCTTCCTCTAACTGGCACATCCACCAACTGGACATCAATACAATCTTTTTTCATGGAGATCTTGAAGAAGAGGTATATATGAAACCTCCTCTGGTATGAAACGGCCTGCCCAGTTGGTATGTAAGTTTAACAAATCTATCTATGGCCTAACGCAGACAAGTCATCAATGGAACCACAAGTTAACCACCAATTTATCCAACATGAGTTTCTCTCAATCAAAATGTGATTACTCTCTATTTACTAAACATATACCAATGAATGTTTTACTGTTATTCTTATATATGTAGATGACTTAATTGTTGCAGCTACAAACATTTCTGAAATTAACCTCATCAAACATATTCTGGACAATCAGTTTAGTATTAAAGACATGGGTATTTTAAAATATTTCTTAGGATTTAAAATTGCTCACTCATCAAAAGGCATCACGCTTTGTCAACGCAAGTATTGTCTTGATCTTCTACAAGATACAAGACTTCTTGCTGCAAAACCTGCATCTACACCTCTGGAACCAGGATTCAAACTTGACAATCCTGATGAAGCTCTATTGCCAGTTCTTTCCATCTTCAGAACTATCATAGGTAAGCTATTGTACCTCACCCATTCTTGTCCTGATATTGTTTTTTTTGTCTGCAGGTTAAGCCAATACCTTGCCAAGCCTACATAAACTAATCTTCATGCTGCCACAGAATCATTCGATACCTCAAAAATGCACTTGCTATGGGACTGCACTTTAAGCAAAATCCAGCCTTTAAACTCACAGGTTTCAGACTCTGATAAGTTGGAAAACAAAGAAACAATTAGTAGTCTCGAGAACTTCCTCTGAAGTCGAATACAGAGTTCTTGCAAATACTTAGACCTAATTAGCTTTTATTTTTCTTTTCTACTGTTTTCGGCCCATTTGATATTTCTGGTGTAATGGTCACTGAGTACCTCTTATAAATACGAGACTCTAATTATAATATATAATCAATGAGATATAATATTTTTTTCTTGTTTTTTTTTAATAAACCATGCTTCTGCTAACACATGTTAAAAAAAATTATTCAATAGTCGTCACAACTTTGGTGGAATCTTGTATACACCGCTTCCTATAAATTTTCATGTAAGGATGTATTTTTAACATCATCCTATATCGAAACAGTTCCAACCCACGTTAAACGATCCTTATTCTCAAAGGTCAACATGAAGCAAAGTTGGGACAAATGACTCGACATTTTTTATTATCATAATCATCTTCATAACTATAATCTCTTCAAAATCTATATAAAAGCTTTGAAATCAGAATGAAACATACCAACTTGTTTACAATTATTACTCCTCCTCACCTTCTGAATCATCCATATGAAAACAACTCAAATTAGTTCGTATAAACTTTTTAATCATTTCACTATATTTTATCATTCCTTTTTTTTTTGTTGACAATATTTTTTATTCTTAATATATAGAGACTATTATACTACTTTTACTAGGAAATAATTTATACAAAATTAAAATTATTAAAACTTAATTATTGTATCATTTCTAATATGCAAAATGTGATACTTAATCTGATTTGAACACACTATTTACGAGGTATAATGTAATGTTATTTCTTAAAAAATATATATTATAATGTTTAATTATATAAATTATGAATATTTAATTAGTATTAAGTTTTCTAGCGATGTGTCTTTAAATATAAGAGATTAATGCAGTGTAAAATTTATACAACCGTTGATTTGTTTTAAATTTTAATTTTTTATTTTAATTTTTATTTAAATAATATATTTGAATGATTATGATATATTAATGATGTAAAATTTTCTACACCAACAATATATATCAATTAATCTTATATTAATGGTGTAAAATTTTCTAATTTTCTAAACCGACATTATATATCAATTAATTTTTAAATATAATCTTTTAATAATAAAAAATTACTTTTTAAAATTAGAAGAAAAAATTTTTACTGTTGAAATGTATTACACCAAATTATTAGTGCGTGAGACACTTTTAGTATCGAGAGAAAGAGAATAATAAAGAAAATAAGATTTATATCATTCACTTGAATTGTATTATACAAAATAAAAATACACACTATAACTATTTATATACAATTCTATTTGAGATTCAGATTACACAATTTGGATTATATTTAAATATTAAATCTAATCCAATCTAATCTAATATTTCAACATATCTCCCATAATCCAAGTTGTCGGACCTACGCTAATCATAGTGGATCTGAAATATTTCTAATTTCTTTCTCAATTTCAAGAATCCGTCGATCTTCAATTCTTTGGTGAAAATGTCGGTCAACTATGCTTCACTTGAGCAATGTCTAACTTCAAGTTCACCTCGATTTACCTTTTCCCTCAAGAAGTAAAACCTAGCTTCGATATGTTTACTTCTTCTATGCAAAATTGGATTCTTCGCTAAATTTATGGTTGACTTGTTGTCGATTTACAACACTAGAGGTCTCTTCACTTCGACCTCCATTTCTTCAAATACAAATCTGATCAAAATTGCTTGACATGCATCATAGGATCCTGCTATATATTCAGCTTCACACGATGACAGTGCCACCACCAGTTACTTCTTCGAACACCATGAGATTGGGGCACCAAATACTTGAAAGAAATATCCAATTGTGCTTTTTCGATCTTCCTTATCTCCACACCAATCAGCATCTGAAAAACAAGTAATTGTTGCTTCTTTCCCTTCAGAATCTCGTCGAAATAGAATTTCATAGTCTATCGTTCCTTTTAAGTATCTTAGATTTCTTCTTGCAGCCTTCAAGTGTGACACTTTTGGTTCACCCATGACTCTAATCATTATTCCGACTACAAAACCTATATTAGGTCAATTGTTGCACACATAATTAGAGATCCCATGATTTACTTGAACAAAGTTACATCCACTTTGTCTCCCTATCCATTCTTCTCCAACTTCACATTTGGTTCGATAGGTGAGGATGCAGGATTCGAATCATCCATTCTGAATCTCTTGAGTATCTCTTTGACATACTTCCTTTGATGTAGCACCATACATTGCTTCGACATTTGAAATTTTATGCCTAGGAAATAAGACAAGTTTCCCATATCCGACATTTCAAATTATCTCATCATTAACTCTTTGAAATTTGACAAGTTCTCCAAGCTATTTCCAGTTACCAGCAAGTCATCAACATATAAGCAGATGATTGTTATATCTTGTGCTACAACCTGAACATAGACACCATACTCTGATTTTGTAGTTGAAAATCTTAATTCGACTAAGTATGAGTCGATCTTCTTGTTCCATGCCATAGGTGCCTGATTGAGGTCATAGAGCATTTTGTGAAACTTATATACTTTACTTGATTCCTTCTGAATCACAAACCTTGGCAGTTGTGTGACAAATACCTTTTCGTCTAAAGAACCATTCAGAAATGTTGATTTCACATCTAAATAAAATGTCGACCAGCCTTGGTTGCATGCCAATGATACGACTAGTCAAACAATCTCCAATCTTGCTACTAGAGTAAACACTTCAGAGTAATTGAGTCCTTCTCGTTGAAGAAACCATCGAGCTACTAATCTTGCTTTATGTCTTGCTATCGACCCATCAACATTGTGTTTCAACTTGAATACCCACTTCACTTAAATAGCTTTTGTATGTGCTAGCAATTCGACTAACTCACGTGTATTATTTCTTTTGATTGCCTGTAACTCTTCAATCATTGCTAACTTCCACTGTTTAATCTTCAAATCTTCATTATGGTTGATTGGTTTAGCACCTGCAAGTAAAGTAAACTGAATTAATTTTCCATCTGGTGTGACTTCATCATCACCCACCACTTCATAATCATGAAGTCTTATTGGAAAAACTTTATTTCTTTGAGGTCTTTGGCTTGTTTCAGCCACATCCTCTTCGACTTAGACTGTTTCTGGAATGTCAGCATCTGCTTTGACTTCGATTGGAATATTAGTAATTTCTTCGACTTCAACTTCATCATTTTCTTCGTCGAAACCATAGCTCATCAATGGCTTGTTAATTGCATCATTAGAATTCTAACCCTGGGAAAAAAATTCATCAATCACAATGTCTCGACTCAACACAATCTTCTCATTAATTGGATTGAATAGCCTGTATGCACCAGTTTTATGATATCCTACCAGAATCATAGGTTCACTCTTGTCATCAAGCTTCCTTCTTATCGCATCAGGAACATGCTTGTAACACATAGAACCAAACACCTTTAAATGACTTAATGATGGTCGTTTGCCACTCCATACTTCTTCAGGAATCTTGTTCATCAATATCTTAGTAGTGAACCTGTTCAAAATATAAACTGCAGTCGAAACAACTTCATTTCATAAAGATTTTGGAAAATTATTCTTCTTTAGCATGCATCTCACCATACCCAATATGGTTTTGTTTCTTCTTTCACCAAACCCATTATGTTGAGGCATATAAGGAGAAATTACTTCATGATCGATACCATGTTCTGCACATAAATCTTCAAACATATTTGATGTATATTCACCACATCCATCTATTCACAGAACTTTGATCCTCTTCTCACTCTAGTTTTCAACAAGTGTCTTGAATCTCTTAAAGATTTCAAATACTTCTTCCTTTCTCTTGATTGCATAGATCCATAACTTTCGACTGGTCTCATCGACAAACGAAACAAAATATTTGTTTCCACCAATGGTATGTTCTTCGAATGGACCACATACATTTGAATGTACCACTTCGAGTATGCATGATGATCTCATCGGCATAGTTGAACAAAAGAGTTTCTAGATTTCTTTTCGACTAAACAACCTTCACAGAGTTTGTCGGGCATCTCAAGACTTGGGATACTAGATACCATATCTTGAGTAATCAGCTGATTGAGTGATCTAAAATTCAAATGTCCAAACCTCAAATGCATCAACCAACTACCCTTGTGGTCGAAAACAGTTTTTAGACATTGTACTTCAATCGAACTGATCATATTCTTAAATGTCTTGTTCTTCGATAGATGAGACTTTAAGACCAAATTACTCTTGGTGTCGAACAACTTTAAAATCCCATCTTTCATGACAACTGAGAAAACTTTTTTGAAAAGTCGTCCAACACTTAGCAAGTTGCACTTCATTCCAGGTACATATAGCACATCTTTCATCATAGCTTTCCATCAATTACTCATTTGAAATACTATGTTGCAAGTACCTTTTTGCTTGCAACAAACTATTATCAGCAAGTTTTACCTTGCTCTTCTTCGACTCGTCAAAATTTGTCAACCACTCATTTCGAACAACCTAAGTCGAGGAACCAGATCTTGGATTCGACATGGTTATCTACAATTGTAGCCATAACCACCATACCACTTCAGATCATCTGAATCTTTTGGCGTGCAAGGTTCGCTCCTTCGTTCTTGCATGTTGATCTCTTGTCTTTTTTGTACTAATAATTCTTGACTACATGACCTCCCCCCCCCCCCCTTTTCACAGTTATAGCATTGCAATCTTTCTTCTTGACTTCGTTGTGGACAGTTTTATATGCTTTGGTTGCATCTGCAGTCAAAGCAGGAACGATGTCGGTAACCACTTCTAAGATTTCATGGAAGCCAAACAAGGGTTGCATTTATTTTTCTATCGGATTGAATTTTTACCGTCAAACATTA